GTAATATACCAATAAAAAGTCAGACGAGTGCGAAAGTTCTCTACGTCAATAGGGTCATGTTTGAAGAATAAAAAAGAAAGAGAATCAATGTGATTGTTTATAACGGCAAATTTTGTATCTACTTATCGAGTTATATCAATGTAACGTACGACTGTGAATGAGAACATATGTTATCAATGCATCTAAGGATTTTGCCCATGAACAACAAATTCTGGATGCAAACAAATATTTTGACACCAAAAAATATATTGGGTTTAAACAGTGATTTAGCAAATTTTTTGGGATTACAGATGTAAGCAAACCTTGATGAAAGCGGAGAGACAGCTAGCAAACATTTTGTACAAAAACTGAACTCTTATGAATTACTGGGAGATATATACGATTTTTATCATTTCAAAAGAGAAAAAAAAAATCGCTTTATCATTTTCGATTCAAAAGAAAAAGTAGCTGAGCTACTGTCATCAAATATTTGTGCAAGCTGCAGGATATAACCTCCAACATACAAATTATTTTTCCTATTTCTATTGGACTGCCAAACATTTTATTGCCACGCTCTACAGTTTTGAACTAGCAAGAGATATAGTCAAGTTCCTCGACTATCAGATACCCGTTACTGAGGTAGTTGAAATGGACAATACAAATACCAAAGGTCAAAAATAAAACGAAACTTTGTTTAAAAGTGTGGACGTGACAGTATTCGATGGTTTATAGTTCTTGCGGTTCGTCTAATTCTCTAGAATCTCCATGAGTGATCTTAACCTTTAAGCTGAGATTCCCAAATATAGATTTACAAATTTATGTATAACAGATTATACTTAAATTTTACAAACTACGTCGGTCCTCGCCGTCTCGAATGAGGCGGAGGATTTTATGGTGGAGAAGCCACAGTGTTTGTCGTCAGTTAGGTCCAACCAGAGCTCTTTTTTTTTCAGAAACACCATGGCAACACCCTTATTATGACCTGCTGTCACAAGACACCACACTCTCTAACTACCACACCACTAGATTGTCGTCTACCCCTGAAGCAACTTCCTCGTCGTTCAGCGACTCGTCTTAGTGATCATGATCCGCAAGGACTCGCTTCAAATGCTCACTCACTTGCGGTAATTATTCTCGCACTTCTGAGTCTGTTTACTGAGTCGTCCACGTACTAAGTCGTTCTAACTGACTGGACCCGAGCTAGGCTTGCATCGTGCCATTATTTCCCTTTCCGCAAGGTCCAAGGTCCAGCAACGTCACGTTAATTCACGGAGCATTTTCCTTGCACTCGTTTAAAATACGCACTTTACCCTTCGCCCTCTGCCCCCTTGGCGGGCTCGAGTCCAATGGTCTAGAGCTGATCTGTTAATTCACGGGTCCAAGGTACATTACTGGCTGCCGTTGATATCTCGCGCCTTCTTCGCTGTGGTTAAGTGCCGCTATCCTGCACCTAGACATCCTGAGACCACCTGTATACATTTTACTTTCCACAGCTTTCAAAGCGAAGTCTACCACTTGATGTAGCTGTTAAGGTGTACCGTGGCTTTTTTGTATACCAAATCGCCACTTAGTGATAGCTCCGGTCACTCTTTCGAGTCTGAGGATATCATCCTTTCCATATTTTTTCCCATTGCTCACAGTAGACTTATTGAACTATATGCATCTACCTCACTGGTCTGCTTAAGGGGATTGGCAATAATCGTTATGATCGCAGATTTTCACGAGCTTGGGAAAATAATCTGCCTTGAGCGTTGTTATTCAATAGATCTTCGCCTGGTAATTTGTCGTTTTTGTCCTTTTCAATGTCACAGGTCTTAACCCAGGATTACAGGATTGCGTAAAGGTACATTTGAATAGGTGTTTCCACCTAGAACTAGATTACTTTAAAACTAGAACTCTAGGTTCTATCGGAGCTAGGTCTAATGGCTTAAATCTGTACTCTAAGTTGTCCGTAAAAATATCACCTTTTTGTTGTACTTTAATAGGCGCCTTATAAATCATTATCATCAAATCATTTTAGCTGTTTCATTAGTTTCCACAAGAAGTAGTTCGTCAATACATCTAGACTCTTGTTTTTTATCATCTAATCAATTTAATCTTGCTTCTCATCAGGACTTAGACGATTTTAAATCCATTTTTATGTTTTTCATGCGTATATCTCATATCTTTTAATATTAACGAGTTATTTTTTTCAATTGTATGGGAAGTAATGCATTTTGTGGGAGGATGGTGTTATAAAAGTTTCTCGTAGAGTGAAAGAGTGTACTAGATTCATTAAAAAGTATGTAACAGGCAGAAGGAAATGCGGTTTGCGTTTCAAATGCGTTTTGAAAAATGTGAGATTTTTGAATTTTTGTATATATTGCTCGTAACTTATACATGTATGTATTCCCTAAGAATCAATACTAGCGCTCGTAATATGATAAGAACAAGTCACTTGCGGGTCGCAAGCCACTTGTGGGATAATTCCACTTATCTAACTTGCACAGGCAAGCAGATGAAGCGCTGCGTTGGGCTTACTCGATAGCACAAGTTTTAAAATTCTCATGTAAGCTACGTAAGCAAAAACTTAGAAAAATAATATCAGTTATATAACTTAACAAATGTAAATGTGTTTTCATTGACCATATCTACATTTTGGTAATAATGCAATTCATAGGTAAACCAGCACTTTAAAGTTCTGTAAAGTGGTAGTCACACAGCTACAGGTTGCAAGAACTTATGTTTCCTCCTACCAAAGGTAAGGAACAAAAAAACCTTTTTTGTTTAAAAAGTCAAAAGTTCAGTAAAACAATAAATATTTTTGTGAAATCGAAGAAATATTATTTACATTTAGTGTTTTCGAGGCTGTAACATCGAAAAAGTGAAAACATAATAAATATTTTGACTATTGAGCCAGAGCAACAAAATCAAAAGGAAAGTTTTAAAAAATATAGAAGTATATTTTTTATTATCAAATATATTAAAATTCAAAAAACGAGTGCAGCTAACAAAAAAACAACTTCAGCAAGATAGTCGAGTTCCCCGATTATCAGATACGCGTTACTCATCTAGTTTATACTTCGCACTTACAGTTGCGGTCAAAATTATAGTAGTGCCGGTGAAGAAACACGTTATTTCTCATTATTTTCTCCTCTTTTTTTTAACACAAGTAACTGTAATTCTCTATTCTATAAGAATGTAAAGTTTTGTTCGGGTTTCTTCTTGTTTCATACTCTTTTTCGCCTTTAATTGCAAGGATTCACTAGTTTGACCCAGTCAAAATAATAGTAGTGCCCAGATAAATTGACAAGAATAAATAAATTGAATCGCTTTTTAGTCATGTTATGGTCATCATGGCTCTCGGCAGTTTGTTAGACGACCAACCTTATGTGCTTTCTTTCCGAAATATACCTTAAGAACGGTTAAGCGCGGTGGTTCATCGATTATGATTTGGGCGAGTCTTTCGTAATATGGAGATGGACCAGTTAATAGACCGTTATTTATGTTTAAATTTTAAACGACGTGATGCTCTCATATGCCTCTGAGTACATGCCACTTGTTTGGACGTTCCAACAGGACAATGAACGAAAGCATACAAGTAAACTCGCCAAAAACTAGTTCGCAGCCAATCAAGTCGATATCATCAAGAGCCCCCCACAGTCAGTCACCCGATCTCAATCCAATTGAGAATTTTTTGTGTGAATTAAAGAGAGCGATCTCAGAAATAAATCCGAGCAATAGCTTTGAACTCTGGGAAGCTGTACAAAGGTCTTGGAACTCTATTCCTGTGAAGAGATGCCAGAATTTGGTTGATTCCATGCATTAGCGCTGTAATGCAAAGGGAATTCAACTAAATACTAAAAACAAAACAGTAAATATACATAGGTCTTTAATATAGATTTAATCATTTAAACTTTAAATGTTTTATTTGGCTGTGATGCTGTTTGAAAAAACACTATTATTATTTTGACCGATCAAATTTAGGTCCAATTTCACATTTTAATTTCTTTCTGAAAAGTCTTATGAATTATCCAAATTAAATTTTCATTATTATCACCTACTATTAGTTAAGTTTCATTAAAAGTTAAAAAAAAATTTGTCAAAACTTTTTGAAAGGTGTATTTTTGGATTGTTTGAAAACATCTGTGGGCACTACTATTATTATGAATGCAGCTGGATGTGCGAACGAGAAATTTCTTAATTTTCGAGAATATCGGTAAAAATTGCGAACAAAAATAAAAATTTTGGGCATGACAGTTTGTGGGCGTGTCAAAAAGATTTTTGGCAAATCGATAAAAAATTTACAAGACTAATAAAAAAATTTAAAAATATCACAATAATTTTTAAAAGTGTGATCGTGACAGTTTTGGGCAATTTTGGCAATGGGCGTTGGGAGTGGACATGGCAACATCATTTAACAAACATGCGCTGCGTCTCTGGAATTTGCATGCCTAATCTCAATTATATCTTTTATAGTTCCTGAGATCTCTACGTTCATAAGGACGGACGGACTTGGCCAGATAGACTCGGCTATTGATTCTGTTCAAGAATATACATATATACTTTAGATGGCCGGAAACGGCCATTAGATGATTAGATGACAATTTCTATCGATATGCAAAAAAATTAATTAACATTCTCGTTCGCACTTCCACTCGCTGAGCAACGGGCATCTAATAGTCAACTATAGCGTTCTCCCTTGTTTAAATGTATAATTACTGCATTGGCTTGCCAACGCTAGCTTCAAATTCGGTGATTGCCAACGATTGTGGCCGGCTCTGCGGCCACTTCGGCAGATGTCGTATCTTAGTATGTAGAAAGATTAATCAGCCCTTTTTTCAACAAAATGTTAAGGCCGAGAGCGTTGTTTTCGCCGTCAAAGCTTTTTTAAATACTTAAAAATAAAATTTAATTTTTTGGATAAAAAAGTGAATTATGTATAAGTAAGGATTTGTTTAATGCCCTTGATTAAAACGTATGAAAAGCACTGGTAATTAACAACTAATAAAATATCTGTACAATACAAATAGGCAATTTACCAGAAGTATACTCGTTTTTAAGCAGCATTTCACAATCTCCAAAACACATAAAATTGTAAGTTAGATAAACATACTGCTTGTACAAAAAGCAACTGACGATTGTATTTATATTTCTATGTTTAAGCCGACGAATATTTAAAACTTCATTGCTCAAAAGTGTAAGCTTTTCCATTGGCTGATCCACAGAAACTTTTATAATAGCCAAACATTTATTGTTTAAATCTTTTGCTTTATAAGCCGTTCTGATTTTCCCACTTTTAAGTATTTCTAACAGTTTGTAATTATATATATTGTTACTACACATAATAAATAAATTTCTAATTATTTGACCCTGACCAACAAATACAATTGATTCTCATCATCAGAGCACGTAATTAATATCCGATTCCCACAGCGCCTCAGACACCGCTTGTACCAGTAATACCATAATCCCAGCAGGTATTAAAATTATTATTAAAATAGTTAAAGTGATTAAAAAATGTGTTACACCGACCATAAAATAAGAAAAAAGTAAAAGTACTACAAAATAAATTTTCGTCGGATATATGAAATATATCACATGTTGTTTCAAATGTTCATAATATTTTCGTTTATGTTTGATGTGGCAATTTTTGACCTAAAACATGTCTAATGGAAGCTCTCTTCATCCTTAAGCCATCTGATATTTTATTACTCTATTTACGAAGTGAAGTGACTAAAGAATTCTTTATATGCGTACAAAATAATGAAGTCGCTAAAATTTGTATTTTAACAACTGACGTCCCAGAAAATTCGGAATTTGGTGCTGCTTTCTCTTCTTTTTCGGGGCCGCGGGATTTCATGTTTGTCCTCTTAACGAACTATTTATTTCCGCTATTGCTTATCTAGTTATTGCTAAGAACGTTTAGCTTTCGTTTCTTTTCGGTTTCGCGGAACTTCTTGTTTGTACTGTTAACGAACTACTATTCATTGCCGATATTATTTATCTTTGTTATTGCCAAGAACATTAAGCTTTCGTTTCTATGAGTGTAATTTTTCAAAAGCTATTATTTATCAAACTTTGTTTGTTTAATAGAAAAATGCAGGAATTTTTTCGCCAAAAACTCAGTGGGCCTGTCTTAAAGAAAACGTCTGTTTTCTTTTGTCAAAGTTTTTGATTCTTAAATGTGTCTAATTATGATCGGAGGTGATTGACAATTTCTTTGGGCAAAAGAAAACGAGACTGACCGCTTAAAGAGTTTGTATAAGTTTGTGATGTTTGTTGAATTCTAAAAGCTTATTGCGTATGTATGAACATTTTTGTGTTTTTGTAGTCTCGAGGTTCCATCATGTCACTTGGCTTTGTAGAGTTCTCAACGATTTGGTATACCTTATTCAGAATAAATGTATAAAAAATAAACTTATTTAATGTAATAACTAGAAAGAGATATTGTCAAGTTCCTCTAGAATATATAATTTTGTAATTTCGGAAACTCTTCGTTTAACCTCTCACAAACTTTTCAAAGAATCTAGTATTTTATTCTGGATATGACAAATTTCAAATTTAAATTTCATGTTTATATTTCAAAAAGATCTTCATAACGTAAAAATTAAATGTCTAAAAAAAAAAAAAAACAAAAATATTGAATACGCCGTTTGAGTTGAATTTTTCAGGCAATTGGTCTGTGTGAGCGACACTTAATCCCACTTAAGTGAGAGTTATATTCCTTCATAGGTGACGAGAAGCCGGATCAGTAGTAGGAGTAGTTTTTGAATAGTAGTTGAATTTAAGATTTAAGAACACGTGTAGATGGTTCGATGTCAAGAATCAGACTGAGTTCCTTATTTCAGCTTGGCCCACAATAAGACCTCCGCTATGCAAAAGTATATAAATAAAAGTACGTAGAACTTAAACATAATAACAAGTATGAGTGGATTCATAAATTCTGCATCGGATCGTGTGAAGTAGGAGTCGGGGCATCCTGTCAAAAAGCATCTTAGACAGATATCGGTTTGGTGGCAACGGCCGGTCACTGAACGGCGTCTCTTCTTTGACGTCCTCGTATGATTCGTAGGATGTTATGGTGACGGCCCGCCATGTTTGTTTTCCAACCTAAGCTTTTTTCGAAAACACCGTAGGAACAACTAAAAGCGTACGTCTGTTATGACCTCCTGTCACAAAACACCAACCAAGGACTCCACAATCCTTACTTTCACATTACTACACCTTCCCCTGTAGCAATTTCCTCTATTTCGCCCTCTGCCCCCTTGGCCGGCTCGAGTCTAAGGGTCTAGTGCGGTTCTTTTTTTTTTTTGCGTCGGAATCGTTCAGTGCTTTCTGAACATAACCGGACGAGGAAAGTAGGAAAACATGTACATGGTACAAAGGACCTTATTCGACTATTCATACAATTTACCATTTATACAGTTATACAAGTAGTTATATAACACGGGTAGGTAGATCGGTCGGGTGGATTCTCTTCTGCCGTCAGAGACTGCTTGCCAATATGTTTGGGTGCGCGGGTATATATCTATAGAATTTACAAGATATAGAAAAAATGAAAAAATATCATAACAATTTTCAAAAAAGTTAGCAACATAATTTAACAAACATGCGCTGCGTCTATGTCTTTGCAATTTGCATGCCCAAGCTTTCTAGCTTTTATAGTTCCTGATAGCTCGACATTCATACGGACAGACGGACATGCCCAGGTCGACTCGGCTATTGATCCTGATAAAGAATATACATATATACTTAATATCGTCGGAAACGTTTCCTTCTGTCTGTTACATACTTTTCAAAGAATCTAGTATACCCTTTTACTCTACGAGTAACGGGTATATAAATAGCTTGTCGTGAATATAAAAGTATAGGAGATAACGCATGTACAAAAACCTAAAAATAGTTTCCGATAGAAACTAGTGTTCTAGTTCGTACATAATTAGTAATTTTGTTTTACATGCAGGAGCGATTCTTGTTTCTATTATTTTTTCCACCTCTGTATGTATATATAGTGTGTGTGTGTGTGTGTGTGGATAAACCGTTAGCACATAAGCCACTCATAAGGATTCTTTATAGTGCTCTTCTTTTTGAGTTGATTTCGATCTTGTTATTTGCGGTACATAGCGATATTTGAAGTGGTCACGTGTTTGAGCTGGAAAAAATAATAGAAACAAGCTACGTTTCTGCGATTTGTTTGAGTTTTTCCCTGTTAATTTTGTAAGTAAATCAATATATTAAATACTTTCAGGTATGTTTAGCTCATAATAAGTGATTTTGTAAAAAAAAATGGTTAATTTCGGCTTTTATATTCAGAATGGGGCGCGGAATGCACTGTTCAGCTGTAGAAAGAGATATTATAAAAAAAACTAAAAAACGAAGGAAAAACAATAAGGGAAATTGCTGAACTAATGCACTGCTCTGCAAAAAAAAGTGTTTCCGCGATTCATTATAAAGATACGAAGGAGAAACGGGGCAGGAAGCGAGCCACATCCCAAAAGTTCGACGACCTTTTGATTCGAACATCCAAAAAAAATCCTTTTATGTCGTCGACGGACCTGAAAAATACTTTCCAGACATCAGTGTCAAGTCGAACAATAAGAAATCGACTAATTGAAAAGGATTTGAAGGCACACTCGGCTAGGAAAGTTCCACTGCTTAGTGAAAAAAATATCCCTAAAAGACTGTCGTTTGCAAAGCGACACCTATACCGTAAAAACTGGAATAATGTCTGATGAAACTAAAATTAATTTGTTCGGATTTGATGGCAAAATACGTCCAGACGTCCAAAAAATACCACATTTGATCCAAAGCACACAAAAAAAAGAACAGTAAAACATGGTGGAGCTAGCATCATGATATGGGGATGCTTTTCCACGTCTGGAGTTGGTCCGATATTCCGGATAAAAGATAGGATGTGTGCTCCCGACTACTTTAACATATTGGAGAATGTTATGAAACCATAAGCTGAGGAGGAAATGCCCTTAAAATGGGAGTTCATGCAGGATAATGATCCGAAACATTCGTCAACCCTTGCTTAGAAATGGTTTCAGGACCAAAAAATTAATGTTATGGAGTGGCCTGCTCAATCCCCGGACTTAAACCCCATAGAACATTTATGGGGAATATTAAAAAGAGGAATTTGAGGTTTTAAATCAAAAAATAAGGAAGAGCTCTGGAAAAATGTTAAGTCAGAGTGGTATGTCATTAATCCCGAAATTTGCGCCAATTTAGTGAATTCAACGCCCCGTCGATGCTCAGCAGTTATAAAAAATAAAGGAAATACCACTAAATATTAATATTACAACTATTTTTATAAGATAATTCATAAAAATTACGTTTTTCTTAGTTTTAAGAGTTTTGTATTATTAGTATTTTTTTCCAAGCGCCAAAAATGAAGTTAAATATTTTTAGTTTATATAAAGATGAAAAAAATATTTTTGTTCCTTAATGTAAAATATACTTATATATGAATTTAAAAAAATAAAGATTAAAAAATATTACTTTCGTTCTGAGCACAAAATTTAAAATCAATGATTCAACCAACGTGTTTCTATTATTTTTTCCACCACTGTATAAGTTAACTAAGTTAACCGGACCGATCGTCCGCCCACCAGCACCGGTCAAATTGCTGACCAAGCATTTGGCATGAAGCTCGCACATAGCCGGCAGAAACTCTGCACATTGGCAGAAGCCGCTTTGAAGCTTTTTCTATGTTAGCTTTTAAGTCAGTTTGCATTCACATTTGAAGTAATAAAGAGCACCAGCTCATTAATTGAAACTCCGGCGATCCGCCGTAATAACTTATTATTTTAAGCTATCTGACTCTCTCTTCCTAATTCATCAGTTGGAATTACGCATTGCACTTTCCGTGCGACGACAGCTGCGTGGAAACTCCCGTAAGATCGACAAGCCTGCCGCTCGCGGACTGCTGCGTGGGATCCTCCAGTGACCAGGATTATCACAAACACTTAATTGGCTTACTAAAAGAATCCAAGACACAAAAATATGTATATGTAATTCTTTACCCAAATTTACCTCCAAGCTGCATTATTAAAATATTTAAATATTTTTGCGTTTCAATAAAAAATAAAATAAAAATTACACTGCAGTTCCATAATAATTAAAAATCTGGTTTGTGAATTATATTTACGTGCTATTATTATAACATTTAGACATTCCAGCCGCTGCGCTGAAGAAATATTTAATTTTATATATTGATTGACTTACGGCTTATATTCTATTGTGTGCATTCAATTCCACTTTCGCATATGTCTGGACACTGTCGTTTCATTTGAACTTGAATTCTCTGCATTAGCTCCACTGGCTTGTCGGGCTTTCTTATCGTTGCCCCGCTCCACTTTGTTACCCGATACAGCAGCGCATGCATTGCTGTAGTAATTTTTCGTCTTTTTTATATCTCTTTGTCTTTGCTG